GGAAGTAGAACTATGCACATGCACCGATTCTGGCCAGGCCCATCCTGAGCCCAGGATCGGTGCATACCCCCTCCTACCTTGGCCAGGAAGTCACATGCACCGATCCTGGGTCAAGGATGGGCCTTGCCAGGATCAGTGCATGTGCATAGTTTTCTTCGCCCGAAATTTCTTATGAGTCGTTTTTTGGACGGCCCCAGGAGCCCGTTGAGGGCCCCCCGAGGCCGAAGGCGGGCCCGAACTGGCCGCCCCAATGTTCTGTTGGAGCCTCGGATCTCTGGGCCCCCTCCGCCGCGTGCGTGCCCTGGAAGGCCACGCTGGGGGACGTGCAGTACAGGTGGGGCATTTTGGATGGGTACTCCAGATTCCGTAATAAAAGGGAGGGGGTCTGGACCCTCCAAGACAAGCCATTTCAGACCTCCCCCGTGGGAGAAACCTCCAAAACATCGTCCCCAGACCCCCCCAGGCCCTCCAAGATAGCCTGGAAGAGACCCCCCCCGAAATGAGACCCCCCTCCCTTTATTACGAAATCTGGAGTAATAATCGGCCCCCCCTTGGATCCGCTGGGAGGGTTAAGCACGTGCTGTCGGAACGCGTGGAGGGGGGGGGGTTGGAGGAAGCGGAGGAGGATATGAGGAGGGGGAGGAGGATGGAGGGGGGCGGGATTGGGCGAGCTCAGTCGGAAGGTTATAATCGCCACCCCCTTGATACATACCCCATCCAGAGTAGGGGCAGAGGTGGGGTCAGAGGAGAATCGCTCAGAGCGGCCCGTGCAAGAAAGAGACGTGCTTATCCAGGCTGGGTATGTTCTCGAACCACACCTTGGGATACCCCCCACTCGCCATCGTTCGGGCGGCCATTCCCCGTGCCTCTTTCGATTTCGTGCGTTTCTTTGTCACCACATGGATCAAGATGCTCCTCGACGGTCCCAGCCGAGAAAGATGCACACGTCCGAGCGATGCCAAGCCCCTCTACTGGAAGACAAATGGCGGCATGAACATACAGTACGCTTTTGGCGCTCCGCGCGGCTTTCTCGGATCTGCGCTGGACCCCCCTCCCTGGAGTGCGGAGCGCGCCAGGGGCGGCGCCGGAGGCGCCGCCAGGGCGCTCCAGCGCAGATCCAAGAAATCCGCGCGGAACGCCCAAAGTTCATGCTGATGCCGTGCTTGCTGCTTCGATATCTGCGATCGGGAGCGGCCAAGAGGGGGGTGTCCAAGAGGGGGGTTGCAAATCATGACCGGCGGCATGTGCGCGGCCCAGCGGGGGGGCCAGGGACGTAATGAAATAAGAAGGGGCGCCATGAAATCTGGGGAAATATCATGGCCCCCGCCATGATATCCACCCCCCCCCTAGTCATCACCCCCTTTTTTCCGCCCCCGATGCGAACCCTCGAACCTTCAGATCGCGTGCACCTCCACCACCGCGGACGCGCAGCCGGACGAGCCCTCCGAGGGGCGCCGGTCTCGCGAGGCCGCCCGCGAGAGCAGCCGGTCCTCGACGGCGCCGTGGCGGCCCTCCAGGAGCGCGCGGCGGGCCCGGAGCGCCGCCAGCGCGCAGACGCCCGCGCCGGCGCAGGCGCCTGGCGGAGAGCCCAGGCAGGGGAGACGACATGGACAGCGTTAGTATCGATCGAATCAGGCCGATCGGAACCAAAGCGGTGCGAAGCAATCGAGCGAATAAGACCTGGGACATGCCGACACATCGAGGCGACCGGTCCGCCACGATGTCGATCCAAACTCTGGAAGCCAGACTCGGGCCTCAGGGCTGTCGAGACGCGGCTCGGGATTCCGCGCCGGCCCTGGGGAACTGGCCATCGCTCGGACGTCCATTCCCTGTGCCTTTTTCGGTTTCGTGCGTGGTTTTTTCGCCATATGGTCAAGGATGCTCCTCGATGGTCCCAGACCCCCGACGTCATGATTTTTTCATTACGTCGACCCCCAGAGGTCCCGACCCTTTCCCCATGACCGGTTTTTCATCCTGAATCGTTTTTTGACGCTCCCGAGGCCCGGTGAGGGCTCCCGGAGGCCGAAAAATAGGAAAAACCTCCCGTCATGATTTTTTCATTACTCGAGGGGGTCTGGGGTCCTCACCGAAGGAAAAAGGCACACGTGCGAGCGATGCCAAGTGGATCGGGTCGCGAGCGAATCGCCAGCGGATCGTCCCGGATCGGATCGGCATCGGATCGCCGCGCCCCGCTTCCAGCCGGCCCTGGCCGAGGCCGGTGAAAAGAGGACTCCTCCTCCTCCTCCTCCTCCTCCTCCTCCTCCTCCTCCCTCCCTCCTCCTCCTCCTCCCTCCCTCCTCCTCCTCCTCCTCCTCCTCCTCCTCCTCCTCCTCCTCCTCCTCCTCCTCCCCAGCCAGCGAGTCGAATCGCATCGGATCGTGGGCGGCCCTGCCAGGTCGCCACGGAGCCTCCCGTGCAGGACCTCCCCGCGCCGTTGAACAAATAATGACCCAGACATCCAACGCGTCGAGAAAATCGATGCTCACATTTTTTTGAATCCCTTTTGGCCTCTGGGCGACCTCGCTTTGCCCTAGGACCGTCAAACAACGACTCGGGATGCAAGACCTGCCCTGGGGAAAGGGTCGGGTCAGGACAACCGGAGACCCCGCATCGAAAACATAAGGACGTCGCAAGCCTGGGAGCAACCCACTGGGATCGGCGAGGGGGGTGCTAAGGGTGGTTATCAGTGGATGCCAAGGTGGGTCTTATCTGGCCTAACCTAGCTCGTAAGTGGGTTACACTGTAATCCACTTTGGCTGGCATCTACTGATGATGTCCCTTTCCCCTTGGCCCCCCCCCGCGCCGACTCCAGCAGGACCCCGCCCCGCGTCGTTACAACGAGGTAATGCAGGTTTTGCATTTTCCGGTCTCCAGGGGCCCTTACCACTCCTCGGGGCAGTAAAACAACTACTCAACATGAAGAGCCGAGCAGGAGGAGGAGGAGGAGGAGGAGGAGGAGGAGGAGGAGGACGAGGAGGAGGAAGACTCGACTTCTGGGGGTCCACGGCATGAACAAGCCATGACGTCGGGGGCCTGGGACTGTGCCCTGAAGCGAAAAGAGCCTTCACGCGTTTCGCCGTTTTTGGCCTCCTGGGGCCCTCTCCCAGGCCCCAGGGCCGTCCACAGAAACGACCCGGGGTGGAGAGCTGGTCCCGCATCGTGGGGAAAGCCCTTGGGTCCAGGACCCGCTTCCGTCAAGGCATGGTAGTCGAGGAGTTGCACGACCTCGGAGATCAAGATCAGTCAGCATCGACTCGGGAAGTCGGATCGGAACGGCTGAAGCGTGTGTCGGACCCGGGCCGCATCGGCACGGAGTTGGAATCCGATCGCTCGGGCCGCAGCGGGTCGTCGGACCATCCAAATCCGATCGGATCGAAGCGGCCGAGATCGATGTTGACTCGGATCGGGTCGAAACGGACCCTGGGTTGCCAGAGGTGGTCCTGGCACGCGGTGCCATCGACCCTGGGCGCCGTTCTTGACCACCCATGGCCCTCTGGGCCTGGAGGAGGAGGAGGAGGAGGAGGAGGAGGAGGAGGAGGAGGAGGAGGAGGAGGAGAGGAGGAGGAGGAGGAGGAGGAGGTGAGGGGGGCACTTTGGAGGCCGACCGGGCCTCCCTTGAGAAGCGGGGGCCACCTCGGGCCAGGGACCCCGCAGGTGGTCGAGGAGGATCGGGGATCTTCTGCCCCGGGTCAGTCCAGACCCAGGTCCACCAGGCCTGCAACAAATCCTGCCAGATCCTGCACCCAAGCCCGGGCCGATGCGAGGGATCCTGCAGGATCCTGCACCCAGACCCGGGCCAGTGCGACCCTGGCGCGGCAGGACCCTGCAAGATCCGGCGCTCTGGCCGACCCCCGCCTGCACTGACCCCCGTCTCGAGGCTCCCGAGAGGAGGAGGAGGAGGAGGAGGAGGAGGAGGAGGAGGAGGAGGAGGGAGGAGGGAGGAGGAGAGGAGGAGGAGGAGGAGAGGAGGAGGAGGAGGAGGAGGAGGAGGAGGAGGAGGGAGGAGGAGGAGGAGGAGGAGGGCAGGCCTCGCTCCCCGCCCGCCAGGCTCGGCCGGCTCGCGCGGCCACGCGCACGCGCGTGCGGCCTCTCCTTGTCCGCGGGGGCCGGCCTCGTGCTGCGAGCGCTCGCGCGGCGAGCACCCATCGAGGCCCCCGTGGACGGTGCTCGTGGGCCGCTCTTTCGCCCCCGAGCTCTGAGACCTCCCTTGCAGGGCGAGCCCTGCCATCACCGCCAGCCTGCAGTAGACACTCACGACGAACAATTTTTGCTATAAGGGGAGGAGTAGGAGGAGGAGGAGGAGGAGGAGGAGGAGGAGGAGGAGGAGGAGGAGGAGGAGGAGGAGAGGAGGAGGGAGGAGGAGGAGGAGGGAGGAGGCAGGAGGCAGGAGGGAGGAGGGAGGAGGGAGGAGGGAGGGAGGAGGGAAGAGGGAGGAGGGAGGAGGGAGGAGGGAGGGAGTAGGAGGAGGATAAAGAGTCGTGGGGCACGCTCTCCGTCGAGATCTGAGCTTCCCGAGGTGCCGCAGGGCCCCCGCGGGTCTCTGAGGCCATCGGGGAACGAGACACTTCCATGGGGCACCTGCTTACAGGCCACATTTTTATCTGGCCGATCTCGATGACCCTGAACCCCCCAACATGTTTTCATCTCCTGGGGGCGCATCTTTTGCTTCCGCCGCCTTCCGCTGGCCTTCCGCCGGCGGAGGCGGCCTCGTTCTCCTTCCGCCGACCTTCCGCCGAGGAAGAGGTGGCAGCTCCTTCTGTCCTCGAATGCATGGCCATTGTTTGAACGCCTCATTAGACGTGCACACTGCCTGGCCATCGCTCGGACGTCGATTCCCTGTGTTTTTTCGGTTCCGTGCGAGGTTTCTTCGCCGAATGATCAAGGATTCTCCTCGCTGGTCCTCGCCGAAAGAAAGATGCACACGTCCGAGCGATGCCAAGCTGCGCTCGTTTGACTGCAGAAGCTGCAGCCCGTTCTGCCCCCTCCCAGGCACCCGCGGCGCCGGCAAACCCGCGAGCGCGGCGGCTGCCCACGCCACCTCGCTGGCTGCACCGGTCCTCGTACAGCCTCGTGCTCCTCCTCCTCCTCCTCCTCCTCCTCCTCCTCCTCCTCCTCCTCATCTCCCCTCTCCTCCTCCTCCTCCGCCTCCTCCTCATCTCCTTCCGCCTCCTCCTTCTCCCCCTCCTCCTCCTCCTCCTCCTCCTCCTCCACCTTCTCCTCCTCCTCCTCCTCTTCCGCCCTCGGGCTCCTGCGCCAAAGAGCATCGGTCACACCACGTCGCGCCCCGCGCCGCGCGATGGTCGACGCGCGGTCATCTTCGCGCCCTCTGGAGACAAGCCAGCTCGCTCCATAACTGACATCCTACCCCTCCCACCCATCTTTTCCATAAACTCTGTTTGTTCAGTCTCCGCGGCCGCGTGTCATAGCGGACCTAAAACTCCAAAAAGGGCCCATGTCGTCTTCTGGAGAGAAGAAACATGGGAGGAGAAGTCGCCAGTGGACAGCCGTGCGCAGTGCTCGTCCAGATCAGCGCCGCGCGACCTCAGGGGCCGTCGTGTGGTCCTCGGCCGCTGCGGCCACGACTGCCCCGGACGAAGCGCAGGAGGGCGGGAGGGGGAGGAGGGGGACGAGGAGGGGAAGGGAGGAGGAGGAGGAGGAGGAGGAGGAGGAGGAGGAGGAGGAGGAGGAGGAGGAGGAGGAGGATAAGGAGTTTTTTTTGTGCTGCTAGAACTAGCCTGGCCCACAGTGCCTCAGCTAGCCTTCGGGAAGGAGGGAGCCTGCAAGGGCACACTGAAGAGGTGCCTCACCTTAGCTCCGCACAGCTCGGCTCGCCCAGCCCTAGCTGGAGTCGAGAGCTCGCTCCCAGAAGGCATCCTGCTCCCACGGCAAGAGGGAGCGGGACGCCTCACCAAAAGCGAGCTTAACGTTATAAGGATGCCGCGCGCGGGAGAGGAGCGAGAGGCGATGCGCCGCCGTGGGATTTGCTGGGGCCCCACGACACACCTCCACCAGCTTACATCCCCTCTCGCTCGAAAACACCCCGCATCTGGCACAGTACGTGTACTGACCCGAGACATGGAGCGAGTGCCCCAGGGCTTCCCCACGGAAGGCCGCTGGGATGTCGAGTTCGCCCTCCCCCACACTCGAGACGTAACGACGGTCCGACCCCATCCTCCCCCGACAGGGCCTGCGCTGCAACATTCTCTTGGCCTCGCGGCAAAAAGCGTGGCGGCAACAGACACGGCAGCGCCACGCTCCTCTGGTCCAGGCAAGTACATGGGGCCTTGCCCCTTGTGGCAACCCTACTCGACGACGGGGCTGTCCTGGGCCAGTGGCAGGTCTCCCCGTGGAATCACTGACGTCCCCCACCGCCGTAGTCACCCCCGCCACCAGGTTGAGCACTCCTTGGACCTCTCGGGATCGAGAGTCCCAAGTCTCACATCGCCAAGGGGGGACCGCCTGACATTCGGCTCCAGCTTTAGCCTCTGCGTCCGCTAGCTGGTTGCCTTGGAAATCTAACAGGGCCTCCTCCGTTTCGTCCCTGAAACTCGTCCTGGGCTGCGAAGCCCTCCTGAAGCAAAAACCAAACACGAGCCCAGAGGTCCGAGTGTGGCCGAGTCGGACGGAGGCACCACCGACTACCTCTACGGAGGCCTCGAATGACCGTGCTATTGTCGATACCCACTCTCAGTGGTGGAGTGGCACACTCGAGAAGTTTCGCCAGGGCAAAGATTTCGGCCCGCAAAACAAAACTAAAACACCTCAAACCTGGGAGCGAGCCGTGCATGGCCCTGACGACGGCCCCTTGGGCGTCCAGAGCAACATATCCCCATCCAAAGCTCTTTAGCCCTGGCGGGCCTCGACCTGAACCATCGGTATACGCCCATCCCTGCGTGAGCGGCGGGTTCTCGTGCCCAGGGCTCAAGGCCTCGATGGCAGGGACGACGTCCAAAAACGGATCCTCCAGGGGATGTTCGACCAGGCTGCGAGAGAAGAGGAGGGAATCCGAGGAAGAGGCTTCGAAGCGATGGACAATCCCCTGGAGGTGTTCTCTCTCTGCCACCGCTGCTCTGGCTGCGCTGGTGGCCTGGCACTGGGCAAATCTGTGGTGCTGGCATCCTATAGCCTCACCGCCTTGCTGGTAGGACCTGTCATGCCCGTACCCAGCGCTCCAAACTTTGTCCTGCGTCCAAAAATCTCGGCCCACATCGGCCAACATGGCGGCCTGACGGTTGCCCGAACGGTTTCTCCTGGCACGAAGCAGGGCCCGAATGGGCTCGAGCAAAGGCCGCGCGATCCCAAGGCGTCGAGACTCCGCCCAGGCCGACACTTCCTGAAACTCCAGCCTGGCAAAAATCATGGCTTTGACACAGGTGGGGGCCACCCACCTAAGATCCCCAAGATTCCCCAGGTGGTCGCGAAAGACCGCGAAGGCTGGCCAGGACCACGAGAGCCTACGGAGCGTCGCGAGCACGGCCGTGGCTGGTCCTTTGATACCACGCCAAAGGCTGCGTCCAGGGCGAGCCCGGGCCGCCGCGGCCGACGCTCGGCGCCACGCTGCCCGCGTCAGCTCCTCGTGGCGGCCTTCCCACGCGGCCTTGGCCCATTCATAGAGGGGGCGTGTACACGCGTCCACCACAGGGTCACACTTGAGAAGCCAGAGACGCAAGGCGCGGTCCTTGCCTATGGCCTGACCTCCAAGGTCACTGGCCATCAGCACGCGCACTTGGTCTACGCGGGTGGGGTTCAGCCCGAGACAAGACGCACCGTACATCACCGACGGCATGAATCCCATCCGCGCGACCTTGAAAGGTTTGGCCCCCTGCTTAGCCAGACTGGCTTGCTTTCTTTTCCTCTTCTGGGCGGAAACCATCCGTTCCCCGAAGCGGGGGCGATTGGACAGGGGGCCGCCTCCAGCTGAATCCACCCGGAATTGCGTGCTAGACATGTGACTGGTGAGGCCAAGACTCCTCGCCCATCCCCTCAAACGCTGGCGAAGGGGGCGGCTGGCAGCCAAGATGAACCCTTTCCCTGGGGGTCCCCCTGGCCTGGCTCTCGACACAGGGATGCCTCGGGCCTCCATGGCCTGTGCAAAATGAGAAACTCCACCGTGCAAGGCCGAAGACACCCCTCCTCCGAACCTCGAGCCTGCAGGCTGAGGTCGTCGACGAACAGCTTGAAATGGAGCGTCGGCTGGATCCTGGCTATCGAGTCGGTGACCGACAAGATGGCCAGCTTCAGACAACGCGTGCCTCCCGTGCTGCCCGCCACCATAGCGGGAAAGGTGGTGGTGGTGTGGGGGGAGACAACCCCTCGAATGGAAACCAGCCGTTCGCTGGTGTAGATGGAAATGAGTAACTTGAGCAGCTGAGGAGGGAAACCGTGCCTGGGGGCCTCCGCCCACAATAAATACATACTGCAATGCTCGAAGGCCTTGTGCAAGTCCAGGACTGCTGTGCCCGACGTTTCGCCAGGGGAAACTCCCCCGTCAACTAACATCTGATGCCACATGGCAGCCTCCGACCCCCCTTCGGGCGCGGCGAAATCGTAATCTCGGCGAATCGCTCGCTCCCAATCGAAAAACAAGGCGGCGTGAGCTCGCTCGACGACTCGGGCGGAGGTGGTGAGGAGGCCTATGGGCCTAGTGCCCCCCGAGGGTTTAGAAAACAGGAAGTACAGAACGTATCGCAGCTGGGTGGGCCAGCGCGCCGTCCGAGAAACAAAGGCCACGAAGTTGGCCAAAAACTCCAAACCTTCATCACTTAGAAAGGCCCACCACCGCGGGTGCCAGTTGTCCACCCCCACCCCCGTGCGTTCAGGAAACGATCGACAAATCATGAGAATATCGTCGGGGGTGGGATGGACCAGGCACGTGGAGAATTCCGCTGCCTCCCATGGCCTAGGCAGCTCGCCGCGACTCTCGGCGCCGTGGGACTGCCAGAGCTCCATCCAGCCCAGCGCCTCCGCGTCCACCGCGACCTGGGGGTCCGCTAGGTCGAGGTTGGTGTGGCCTCGAGCTCCTGTCGAAGGCGCCGCTCCAGGCCTCCACTTCGACAGGCGATGAATGAAACCTGCGCCTCCAGCTGATCCTGCATGAAGCCGCTCGCGCCAAGCCTTAGCCCGCTGCCCCTGCAAGGCAGTCTCGATGGCCTTGGCCTCCGAGGCGGCGCGCCTCTGCAGCTGCATCGCCTGCGGGGCATCCGAGCGGAGGCTGTCGCCTTCCCAGGCCAGAGCCGCTAGGCGCAGCAGCTCGCCGTGCGTCGCCTCCGCCTCGTCGCCCAAGGCCGCGCACCAGCGTGAGGGGCCATGGGTTAATCGCCTATACAGCCTGCGCCAGCGACTGGCCAGCGGCCCCCATCCCTGTCGGCGTGCCGCGTCCGCCAGCAGGACGAGGTCGCCCACGCGCGCTGCCGCCCATCGCCATGCTCGGGAGCGCGTGGTGCCTCGCGGCCTGGCATAGGCCAGTGGACCTGCCAGCGGGGCGCGCGCCCACCGCGGAGCCTCACCACGACCTCGATAATCTTCCCCGCCCCCGACATCGAACAGGCCTTGCAGCTCCGTCTCCGCCGCCGCGGCAAACTGGCGCCAGAGCGTGTCCAGCTGGTCATCTGTGCACTGGCCCAGGGGCTGGATGTCTGGCCAGGTCGGTGGCTGAGGACGGCATCCGATAGGCAGCCCGGTGGGGAATGCCCTGGGCTTGACCAGGCGCCAGCCCCTCATGGCTCTCACTGGCGCGGTGGTCATGATGGTGACGGGGCTATGCGGGTAAGTGGCCGCGTCCAGGACCGTGGCCTCCCCGGCGGCATGGGCGATGCGGGAGTCCACCACGAAGAAGCCAATGGTACGCCCACCGCCTCGCCTCTGGCACGTGGGCTCGGCGGGCGCCAGGATGACCCCCCCTGCGTCACTGCGCCAGCCTCCCGCCAGGAGCGACTCGGGCGTGTTATTGAAGTCGGCCTGGAGGATCCATGGAATGTCGCATGACCTAACGATCTCCCCGATGGCGTCCAGGAGAGAGAGGTTCCGTTGCGTCCAGCC